TACGGTATAAACAATACTAATCCAGTGAAGAGTTATCCAGAGCAACTTCGAGAGAAAGTAAAGAAAAATAAAGAACCCGCAAACACCGCAACCAAATCGAGGCAGTTATTTAACAATGAAACTTTAAAAAGGGAGAACAACAAAAAGGCACGTTCAAACGTGTAGCCAAAAGAAGTGGGGGCTATACCTTCTAAAAGGGCTTCACATACTTCCTCTATAGTTACATTGAGCGCCCTTAACGAAATTGCAATATTTTGTGACTTTTTGGGATCAAGTACTCTATTCTCTACATTTGGCGATGGAATAACCGAGCGTGGAGTTGTTTCCTTCGGTTTTAAGTTAGGGTTGTTTACAACGAACAATGTTTCGATCATTTCTTCATTCAACCTGCAACCAACATAATTTGAAAGTTATCGGATGAACAAGGCACGCAGCGCTTAAGCAAATTAGGCACAATTTACAACCATGCCATATAAAGGGGAAAAAATGGAAACCAAGTAGAATACATAATAAGTAACATGAACGGGTAATGACAGTTAAGTATCTTACTTAAATGAGCTCGATCTTAGCTGATCCCACACCATCTCGCGATCAGAGCTGGCTCTAACTTTATCCCAATGTAAAGGCTTTAACTTTGGTTTTGGAGTCTCCTCTACCTTCTCCACAGAGTTAGATATGGGTGGCAACTGCATTGGAGAAACAGAAACATTTGCTGGATTTTGCAACACAAAAGGCCTTGAAGGTGGAATAAGAGCAGGAGGCTTAGAGAGGGGCGGCGGGCCAGTGGGTGTCGCCAGAGTTGGAACATCCCATTGTCTGAATGAGAGCGGTGGCGGTGGCGGTAAGGGTGGTGGCGGGGGAACACCAAGAGGCTGCTTTGTGGCACTGCTGGTGCTGGTTCTCACTGGAGACTCTGCACTTTGATCAGAATCATTGGATGTTCTTGGTGATGCATCTGAATTATTATGGAAATCTCTCTCTGGTGAGAAAGTGGCCGGAGATGAAGAAAGAGACCGCCTTTTTGGATCCAAATCATAAAGTGATTCGTCTGAAGCGTTTGAAATTCTTGGTGATATATCTAGGTTCTTGGCTAAATCTCTCGCTGGGGACAAGGGAGAAGAAAGCGGCGAAAGAAACTGCGTTTTCTGATCGGAAGCGTTTGGTACTGTCGGAGAATTATCTGCATATTCGTCTAGAACTATGTCTGATGACGAGGAAGAAGATAAAGACGGTGAAGGAGACAGCCGTTTTCGATCCGAAGCAACCGACGCCGTCGATGCTGAATCGCGATTCTTCTCCACACCTCTCTCCGGGGACGAAGATGTAGAAAGGGATCCCCTTTGAGGATCCAAACCAAACGAAAATCCAACAGAATCATTCGAAATGATTGATTTTGCATCTGAGTTTTTCGGCGAATCTCGCTCCGGCGAGCGAGAAGGTGGAGACGGCGAAAAAACCTGCCACTTCCTTTCGGAAGCATTTGATGTTCTAGGAGATACTTCGCTGTGTCCCTGGAGAGCTCTCTCTGACGACGATGAAGATGACAAAGAGGGAGATTGCTTTGTAAGCGATGCTTCTGGAATCTTCTCCAAACCTCTCTCCGGTGAGGACGACGCCGAAGACTGTAAAGGAGATGGCCTAAATCCATCAAATGTACCTGTGTATCCTTTCAGAGCTCTATCTGGCGAAGAAGAAAGCGGAGATAACGAAGGAGACCGTACATTTTCATGGGAAACATTGGAAATCCGTGGTGAAACAACTGAATTCTTCTCTGAAACTTTCCCAGGAGAAGAAAAGGGTGAAATTACGGTCTTTTCATTAGCCATTTGTGGTTGTGGTGGTGGTGGTGGTGGTGGAGCCTGTAAATCTGAAGACACGGAAGACTTGAATTCTGCTCTTTTGGGACTAGAACACACAGGCGGAGAGTAGCTAATCGAGTGCGAACGATCAGGCGAAGCTGAACAAGACGATGTGCGCGAAGCTTCACTAGAACCACTGTTCCTTCCCTTGAAATTTTCGCCGGCCACGGCGGCGAAAGCTCTCCTCGAACCCGATCCAGTGCCAATTGAGCTATCTCGTCCGCCCAAAGACCCTCTCGGAGAGTAAAACTCTTCCTCTTCGTCGTCGGCAGTGGAATTCACTTCAGTACCGTTGTTGCCACTGTTAAGCCCCAAATTCTGCCGAGCAAGCGGCGGAAGCGGATGAAGCTCCGGCGACTCCATTTTCCGAGCGTCAAACCGGTCTTCGCGTTCGCCATTACTGCTCGGATTGACTCCTTCGTCGATCCTCCGCGAATCGACCAGAGTCCCCAGGTAGAGAAACTCGGAACTCGCGGCGGAGCCAGTCCGCAGCTTCTGCGCCCTAGTGTTAGTCCTCTCAGCATTGCTGGCCGGAAACAACCTACTGCTGTTCTCCGATCTGAAAGTCTTGTCTTCAGAGAGGTCGCTCCTCCGGCTGCGCCTCCGCCGGTAGAAGAAGACGGCAATGGCGAGAACAACGAGTGCGGAGACGACGGCGGCGATCGAGAGAGCAACAAGCTTGTGAGAGCTTGACTTCGGGGAAGAAGAATGGGGCAAGATGAGGGAGGAGATGTTAGCAGGGAAAGCGAAGGATTTGGTAGGGACTGTTTGTTTTGCAGATTTAGAGAGAGAGAGAGAGAGATGTGTAAAAAGGTTGAATCTGGGGAGTGAAAAGTAGGATGATTTTGGAGTGAAAGTAGTATTTGATAAATCAAATGCTGCATCCAGCTAAGATTCTGCTGGTCGTACTCGTATCAGTGTTTTCGCTAAATTGTTGCTACTGCTACTTCCTTCCGGTGAACGACGACGACGACTTGGCATAACCCAAACTTTTCTGTTTTTTTATTCTTATTTTTCAATTATTTCTTAACTGTGTAAATTTCGGACATACCGGCTAAATTAGGCAATCTGTGTGAGCCAGATTCCATTTACATCCCCTAATTTTAGCTTCTGTTCTGCCCTTTTCTAATATATGAACTTTATTTTAGTACATGTTTTCAAACTAAATTTAATTAAAATCATATTATAAGGAAAAAATATATAAAACAAATAAGTATCACAAATTTTATTATTTAGAATAGACTTCTATTGATGTACTTTTTCTATCCAACTCCATTAATATATTTGGTTTGTTGAGTTTTATTCATAGCCTAATATAATGGATGATATATACGTATTTCCTAATTGTGTAAAGCATAGACATGCCCCGCTAATTAGGCAATCTGTGTGTCTCATAAATGCAATGAAATTTTTTTTTATTTTCTTTGGTATGGCATTATTGATATTATTTTATTTAAAGTGGCTTTAATATTGGTCTCCTTGGACTTAGAGAAAGTTTTAGGCTCCGTTCATTTCACCAATTTAAATTTTATTACAAGAAAACGTTCTCAGAAATAATCACATTTATGAGTTGTGGTTGGGAGATTCATACCCCGATTCGAATCATGGTTCGTGGTTCGTTATAGTGTTTGCTCTCACAAAAAATACACGTAAATTGAAAATGATTCTAATTCATGAACCAAACGTCTTTTCTTTTTTACTATAATAAAAAAATTTTTACATAAAATCACATCTCAACTCTAATTAAAAATTTAAATCAACGAACTAAATGGTAATTTGCATTGCCAACTAGGAGTGCATTCAGCGATTATTTTCTTTCCTATACTTGAAATAACAAAAAAAAAAAAGAAGAAAAAGATTGTCTTCTATACTATTAAATTTAAATGCGGAAAAAGAAAGGTGTACATATATAATTGAATTGCAATGCTTTTTGAAAATCAACTTTTTTGACTTCGTTCTGATAATAACCAATCATGATGGCATACATTTATAGTGTTATGATTTTCTCAAGATAATGTAGAATTTAATTCTTGTGATATTATAAAATACCCAACTTGAATTTTTCAGCTCAAATCAAATACGAATTTTTAGTTACTTTTACCTATGATTGCGCTAGAGATTTGACACTGCCTTTTTGGATTTTGCATGCTTAATCGATTCACGGATTTAGCTTTCTAGAGATAACATAATTCTAAAGTTTCTTTTCCTAATTTTCATGTCTGTTTTCGAGCTTAAAAAATGGTTAAAAAGATACATGCAATTCTAAACAATATTCCGTTGGACACCTTAGATCCGAAATACATGCTTTTTTACACTAATGTATTTGTAGATTGTAAACAAATAATAGGAGACAAACTAATGAGGTATAAAAAAGTATTTCATATTGACATTTTCGTGTGTCATGTATATATATTTACATGTTGAATATTAAAATATATTGGAAGATGCAAAAATCATATTTAGTGACGAAACTATTTATAGTTGAATGGGATACCTACCTACACTTAATAGTTTTTGAAAATTTAATCTTTACATTAAATTTTTTGAGAATAAAAAAAAACGTACATTTGTGCCTTATTACTTAATAATTAAAATTTCTATCAACGTTTTTATTATTTTTGTCCTACAGTGGTCTGCAGACGAAATGTTATGACTCTACCATTGATGGTAGTATGAGGTTGATAAATTAAAGCCAAACGACACATTACCGACTAACCGTACAATTGTACAAAAAAATCAAACATAAAAATGTGAAATAGAAGCTTACGCGTGTCCTAAGTGACAAGGAGTAGGCGGGTGGCCTATCTCGGTAGTAGCATCGGCACTCCGACTGCGTTCGTGTCGTAGAAAACTTTATTGTCGTATGGATGGCCACTTTGTGGTGCGTGTACTAATAAGTCTAAACCAAGAATATTGACCATACAAGAATCACCGACGCCTCATTTCCAACATTATTAGGGAGTTTATGCAGTAGATAGTGTCAGTTTTTAATTATTAAATTAAAATAAAATTACATAAAATAAATAATTTTTAATATAAATGTAAGTTAACTCTCTAATTTATATTTTTTATATTTTTTTAAAAAAATATGTATATAGGTGCTTAGGTAAATTATTAATGTCTTCTCATATTATATATATTTCAAGAGAAAATATACATATACTGAAAAAAAAAATATACATACATCGCATTAAAGACAATTTCTATAAATAAAATATGATAAAAATAAAAATAAAAACTACTAATAACTTAATTTTTGTAAATCCTATTAAAGTAGCTCCTATGTGTTGGGATATAAATATAAAAAATAGTAGAAAATATGTCAATATGAAAAGTTTAAGAAAGTATATAGGCTAATTTTTAATTATAAAAATTAATAGGTCATAATTTGTCAAGTTATGATTAATAATCAAATAAGTTATGAATAAAATTGTCAAGTTATGATTCATAACCAGACAAATTATGAATAAAAACTGTGAATTATGGACAATAACTTATCAAGTTATGATTTATAACTAGACAAATTATGAATAAAAATAATAATTTAACTTATTTATTAATTTATATAAATTATTAACCTGTTAATTTTAATTCATCTCAAGTCTCGATCTATTTTTTTTTTCCCTATAAATATTGCATGCACTTTCTTTTATACTATGGCCCTCAGGACTGCGTCGGTGGGCCCAGCCAAGGACTATAGCGTTGTACTCACAAAACGTGGGTTTTCTATTTCTTTAGGGTACCCTATTCCCACCCACCAAAAAAATATTGATTCTTTTGTCTCTTCCAAGTGTCACCCAATAATCAATTCTAAGTGTCCTTTCTTTTAATTTTTTTTTCTCATATTTATGGATCTACAGTCTACACCATACAGAACCATCTACCCCTTTCTATATAGTGTATATATATTAAATACATCGTACCATATGCCCGTCCCAAATCTGTCAACGTTCGAGAAAATGATTGATTATTGTTTAAGCGTAAGATCCATAATTATGGTTCTCATATTCAATTATATATACCTTTATATTGATATTTTGATGATGACCATCTAAGGCTGAACTGCCTGCAATATGCATAGTGTTAGTCGCATGTTTCAAGCCGACATCGATACTCTAACTCTCCGTCTCTTATTGTTAAACTAAGTTAATGTAGTCAAAATTTTGTATTGACTGAATGTAAATGTTTTTATTTACTATAGTGCTTCGTGGGCATTCGAGAAATAGAGCAGTAATAAACTCAGAATTAGTACTGGATTGTCACAACTTTTTATGTGTCATACTAATAATTATTTTTAATGAAAAAATAGGAATGATTAGTGTGATGTCACCCCCATTCTCACTTTGATATATAAAAGAAATATCGAGTATACCAATGAAACGAAAACTATCCGATCTAAACTTACTTAAAAGAAGAGTGAGGTTTAACAAACCACTATGAGTCTATAATTGTATTGTTTATATTAACCAGACCAGGGAGGGATGGAGCCACATACAGTCGAGAATAGGCGATGATCATCTCAATTGGATTTTTCTTTCAATTTTATAAATGAAATCTGTTGTTTGCGCTCCTAAAATTCTAAAGTTCTAATTCACCCTCGCCACAAAACAGTCCAATCCATTTGTTGCTTATGGACCCTTACAACTTATTCTCTTGGTTTCATCTCTGAGTCAAGCAAGAATTTGTACGTTAGAACTGTCGAGATTTGAACTTGAGAACATTTTAAAAGGATGTTGAAAATAAAAATATGCAAAAATATATCCTCACGTACTTAGTTTATTGTTTATCACTAGAGATTCACATGGGATGTTTTCTCCGGAATGAACTTAAATTTTTCAATAAAATTATGGGTAGTTTAAAGTGTATCT